TTGCTGCTAAACAGTCCCAAGATTGGATGATTCTTGAGTTCTCCCAGCTAGGATTTATTGGTAAGTATTACGATCTCAGCAGGGTCAACTGGATTTGGAGATGTGTGGGTTGTGTGTTTTTGAGTAGGCCTCCCTCAGAATTACATTCAAAGCATTAAAGGACTCAGGAAAGCTCCCACCGAAAGTCTTTTACTTTTTATGTTCTTTAAAACTGTCTTTTTAATGCAGAGTCTCCTCAACATAGGATCTAGTAGTTGGATTCCCATAAGAAGCAAATTGTTCCACCCCAGGGCACTATGTGCCTCTATAGCTTGTAGTCTTCTGTTCAGGACAGGAATTTGAACAATCTATTAAAACAGTCTGCTTCCTTTCCTTTGTGAAGCAGAACATGTATCCCATATTGTAGGGGAGGATTTTACTATTTTTAGTAGTAAGTTTCTTTTTAAATTTTTTTCTTTGTTTCTGATACAATTTAGTTGTAGATAATAATTAGAGCCTTATAAGGTAACACCTTATAAGCGTTAGGTCAACTAAAGAAATGTAACAAAATCTGCTTACACAAATAGCAAGAGAACTAAATGAACAGGGGTAGTATTTTAAAAACAACACTTTTTATATCAAGATTTTATATCAATCTTAATTTAAAGATACTCAGTATAGTATTGCCAGTCAAATTGCATGTCTAGCAGTTTGAGGACTTCTTTGGACTTTGTTTCATTTGACACACTGGTACAGGTGACTGGCAGATTTGTGTTTGGAACTAGGTTATACTACATACTTCATTAGTCCACTGGTTGACTATGTGAGAATATCTCCAGGCATGGGATGGATATCTTTTCAAAATCCCAACAAGCTGGAGGATAAGCAACTCTCCAGAGCTGGAGTCTGTGAAATTTTCACTAACTATCAGGGTTACATTCATGTGTTTAAGGCTGGAGTAAACATAAAGCTGGTGATTTTTGCACAGCAATAAAAATGTCTGAATATGCAACTTCTTGTCTTACTTTCAGGAAAGTTGTTTAAATCAGAAGACTTGCCACTCATAGTGCAATTTTTTCTCATGTTCTATAAAGATAAGCCCATAGACTGGCTTATAGACCACCTGCTCTGGGTTAAAGTGTGCAATCCAGAAAAGGATGCAGTAAGTATGTCTATGAATTTGTGATCACAACTAATACTTAAACACATTCATGATGAAATAGCTTGTTTATAAAAAGCGAAATAGAAATCCCTCAAACATGACTTTGGAATTTACAGGGAAAAATTTGCTGCAGATCTGCATAGAGTTGCATGATGTTTGAGCCCACTAGGGCATATGGCAAGGCCTAACTCACAGCAATTCACATTTCCACATCAATGCTGTTTTGCCTTCTTCAGCTGCCTGCAGCTGGTTATGTAGACGACCCTGCACCACTAAAGAACATTTTGAATATGTAAACCTATGTGAACTGTCACTTCTCATAATCTTCTGCTGGCCCCCAAAATGAAAGTCAGTAAAGCAGCAGACCTTTTACAGTCATAGTAGTTCTGAATTTTTTCTACCAGTTCCTTACTTTCAGGAAGCAGAACTTGCTTTAGATCTTTTACTCCCTGGGAAAATTTGACTGTTTGGCTGAAAAAAAAAATGTAGGGAAATGTAGGTCAAATGAACTAAATGATACTTTTCACTGAAAATTAAACAGTTGTGTGGAATTGCAAATGGTGCCATTTCTAGTACTAAGGGTGAGCCCAATGAAATGTTAAGTATTTCTTTATGCCCTTTTGCATTCTTTCTCTCACCAGTCTTTGGTGCTAGTCACTACTTATACCTTTCTTCTGTAACAGACTGTGCCACAGAGGACAGACCAGTTTCTGGTCCTTCTTGATTTTTAAGGCTCAAGAACTTTATTTGATTAGCGTAGCCAGTCCCCACTCCAGGTGTTTGCACATATTATTTTTGTGTTGATAAAGGAGGAAGAAGAGATAGATAGGAGCTGTGCAAAGCAGAAGACTGAGGGGAGTGGAACAAACAAGCTTCACATTTTACTGCATAGCAGAGGAGACTCTTGGGGATAGCATAAGGTCTCTGGTTTTACACTTAGTAATGCCACTGAAGAGTCTCCATTCCCACTTCAGACAGATAGGAGTAAGCTTTGAAATCCTACTCCATGTGTTAGGGTGGCTCATATGAGTTAGAGTGAGCCTCAAGTACCTTTAATTTAGGTTCTTGTATGCCTGTGATAACAGAAAAAGATATGATTAAGTTAACATCACCCATTCAAGATCCAACATGTGCCAACTTCTGTCTGCTAGATGAAACATTTTACTTTTATTTTTTAAATGACTGTACTAGCTTCAAAGACCTGATTCATACCTAAAATGAAGCTCTGTTCCTGAAAGTCAGGCAGCCAGCTCATGGGAGTCTCCTCTGGCCAAGCTAAATCAGAGTGGTATCAGCAAGTTTCTAGCGAGTTTCACTTCTGCAATTGCAATTTCAATTGCTGTGGGTAGCAAAAACCTACTGAGACAAGTCAAGTCTAATGCTACCCTTGGGTGGGAATGACCAGTGGCATGACCTAATGGGACTACTCATGACAATATGGAAAATGGTTGCTGGAAGAAGGACAGGGATCCCAGGGGCTGCTCAGAATTCTGTTAGACAGGCTGAATCAGTGGACATTCCTAGAGGCACCAAGAAGGAAAATTGACAGAAATCCACATGCTTTCCCCTTTTCAAGCAACTAAGAATGTCACTAAGTGATCACACGCTATGCCTCAGAGGTGAGTTAGCAGGGCACTTGTTTGTGGCTATTATGTGCCATCCTGTGGTGATGCGTGTCTGGCACATGTCCTCTTGCCTGGGCTGAGTGTTAGCATATCAAGATTCAGCTACATTTGCTCATGTAAAAATGAAATTCTCCACAGTAAGCTATTTTGTAACATTACATGTAATGTAGTGAAGTACGTAATGAAATTGCTGTATGTAACTCAGTTTGTCTCTCCTTTATTTGAATACAACTTAGCTCCCTTTTACTTTCTTTCAGACACACTGTGAAAAGGAAAAGGCAAAGTTACGTATCCGTGCTAAACCATCTCTCTTTCAGCATGTGGGAATTTATTCATCACTGGCTGGGAAGATACAGAATTTGAAGGTAAGGATAAGAAATTAATACCATATTTCTAAATGATATGCTTGTGTTCTGACTTGGTTCTCAAATCAGTTTCAAGTATTGCATCTTGGGCGTTAGACGCATTTCTCTATCCAAGAACTCTGGTTTACAAATCTGGGGGAGAATATCGATCTGGTGTCTAAGCTGCAGGTGGGGCCTACTGCTTCTGCACAAATGTCTTTGAATCTCTAATGTGAATACTTGTACCCATCATAGTTGCATTTCATGGCACCCTCTGCACAGTGCAAGGTTTCACACAAACGCAGCTGGCTGTGATGGTTTGTTTTGGACGAATAGTCCACGATCCCAATGTGAGGGACTAGTAAGAAGGACAAGGGTGTGGCTATCATGACAGCCACAGATTTTTAGGGAGAGTTTGCACGGCAAACAGTGGCTCTACCACAAGAACAAGAGCAATGAAGCACCAGACTTCAAGGATGTCCTGATGGTGCCATTTAGACTAGCCATTTCAATTGCTGTATTGGATCAGAGTAGAGGTTCATGTAGCCTTTATCAGAGACCAATATCAGGTGTTTTGGCAGAAGGCACAGTATACAACTATGAAATAGCCTACTGTGGAGAATTTCATTATTAAATCTAGGCAACTAAGAAATAATCAGAGCAACTCTGTCTACAAACTGCAACTCTGAGTCTCTACATTTCAGTGACTACACTGAAATGAATATTTCTATTAGAAATAGTGTGGGTTTTGACACTGAGGCAACTATTTTCTGGAATAGCTTCCTAAAATTCAAAATATTGGAACACTTTTTTTCATTATGTGAGTGATATTCAATTTCTTTATATCCAACAGGATAAAGATTTTGGCAAAAATGTGCTACATAAAGCACATAATAATCCACCTGCAAAACTGAGTACAAGCCTAAAAACATATGAGCAGTATACCTTGGAGAAAGTTTATAAAGGACAAGACTGTTTTTGGGCTTCAGCTCCAGTGGCAGGGGACTACATCAGCTTCACCTTTTTAAATCCACTGAAAGTGGAAAAGTAAGTATTGCATGATATGGAATATCTAGTCAGAAAATGATTGAGCCTATTCAAAACCACCAGTGCTCAACTGTTTGCTTAAACCGTAGCCTCGTTACTGACAAGAAATCTATGATTTGATATTTATGTGCTCCCCTTCTTGAATTCCAGAATACATTTCTTGCTTGGTAATTACAGAACTTTTTTTTTGTATCTTTTATTTCTTCAGTTGAATATTTTACATTCTCATGATAATTCTCAAAAGAATTTGGTTTTAATGAGGGTCATCAAAGGAGTCAGTGAAAGGTTTATTTCTGTATTTGTCAACAGAAAGGCTGTTTGCTTGATGTCAAGTCAAAGGCCAAGCCCTAGGCCAGATACCAGTGTAGGTGAAAGCGAAGAGAAAATATTCACTATTGTGGGGAAATAATGAAGAGTGAATTAACAAAGGTGGGATTCAGTTGAAGATTCAGAGATTTGAATGTAGGTGTTTACAGTAGAGATGCCTATGTAAGGTAGATGTGTAAGCTCCTACTATACATAACAGATAAAGATCTTGATAAAGTCAGTGGAAGCTAGACAGCTATTCATCTTATTTGCTGTTTGGTCACCTGAGTCAGTTACTGAGTCTCCTTGTCTGTACTGAGTATATCCCCACTGCCTGTAATGAAACTTGAAAACTTGGGTCACAGCCAGATTTCTAACTTTACGTGTTCGGACCTACAGCTAAGTCCCACCTTGGATGTTTTTTTCATACTAAGAGATGAAACTGCCTTCTCTGTTTTCACATCATTCAACTTGGGTGTCTTTTAAAGGAAGATACCTATAGCTTAAGATAGAGAGGTGTTTTTCAGAAAGCCTTACTCTATGAGCAGTAGAAACTGAGGTTGGCACCAAAAGGAGCCATCCTGCCTGGTTCAGCAAAGTTTCTTCTCTCTTTGTCAGACTGGAGAACAGACCTGCATTAAAAAATTAATCATCTAGCAAGAAATACGGTTCCAGGAAAGGGAGACAAATTACCCCAATTACCATATTTTTGTAATGATATTCAGCGAGAAAACCTCCTTCACTGTTGTTACACTTCCTCCCAAAACTGGTCACAAAACAAGGCCACTTCCATTTCTGCAAAGATTGTAGATTTCCCTTTTATTTTAAAAAGTTGTAAGAAAGCAAGTCTGTATCGCTGTCTAGTAAGATGCACTAAATGACAGTTTTTATAATAAACACTGATGTTCTGTGATCAACACTGGTAATTAACTGCTTTATGCTTTGGAAAACTTGGTAGCCTGTATTTTGCATTTTCCTGTTACTGGGAAGTTATACTGGATGAAGCTAACTTACATACTGTATTGCCATCACACTGCTAACCAGTAAAAATGTATGGTTAATCCTATAATATTTGGTGTACTTCTTAGGTTTTGATTGTTTGATAGTAGAGGAGGGAGGCTGATGTTTTAGATTTCCTTAGCTCTTTTTGGATCTAAAAACCTAAGAACTCTAATGCCAAAATATAAAACCAAATAGAGTTCTTTTTTTTTTTTTAAATCTCATAGGTGGTTTTGCTTGGATTCTTGCTTTGACAGTGCTGTTGCTCACTGGCTACAGAGATTATTTAGAAGCACCTGATCAGTATTGATAAAAAGGGGATTCTCTTGGCATGTAGCGTATGATCTTGTAAAACCAGGCATTTTTGCTGCCATTGCATTCCAGAAGCCCATCTCACCTCAGCCTTAGGATGGTAGGAACAGATGAGAGGGTAGATCTTCCTTAGCCATTGAAACCTGCAAAGTTAAGTTAATTTATTTGGAACTTGAGCACTGAAAAGGGGAACAGTTGCATTTTGTGGTTCCAGAAAAAGATGTTTTTAATGCTTGTTCTGTTTAAAATGAAAAGTCTCTAGCATGTTTTGGTCACACATTGGGAAGTTTCAATGCCTATTTCTGTTCTCTGCAGCCCACGACATATAAAAGAAAAGGTATGTGAAACTTTGAATCCAAACTGGAAAGCATTCTTTTCCTAGAACTTTTCTAAAGTATAAAATACTTAGAAATAACATACCTTTCCTATCAGGTACTTCTTCAGAAGTGGAAACATGGAGCACCCTGGTGATAAGCTGTTTAACACAACTGTGGAAGTGTTGCTAGCTGATGTAAGTCTCTCATTTCCAACTGTAATACAGAGTGCTTTTTCATTTTAGAATGATGTTCAGCATAAGATGTCATGCCCTAGAAAATACTTCTGGAGATCTTATTGTTTTGTTTTTCACAGGAAATGCTAAAAAAAGAACTGCTTGGCAATGGAAGTAAATATAACTACCCAGCAACCAAAGACGGATATTTACAGATAGGTAAATAGTTTGTCACTTCAAAACCTAGAATTTTGTTCTTACATATAAAGTGGTTTTGCATTTGAGAATTTCATTAACTCTGTAACAAATACAATATCCCAAGGTGAGCTAGGAAGGAAAGCAAACCCATTGCACTCCTGCATATTGTAGTATATGATGTTTAACCAGTGACTATACTATTTTAATAATGAAGAACCCTACTAGCAGTGGCAAAAGCTAAGACATTTAATTAGAAGAAAAACTAACTGCACTCTCTGCAAGGTCTTCATAGGATGTATTGGGTTGTATCTGTGGCAAGGTTTTTGGTAGTGGGGGGGCTACAGAAGTGGTTTCTGTGAGAAGCTGCTAGAAGCTTCCCTCATGTCCTCAGAGCCAATGCCAGCTGGCTCCAAGACCACTGGTCAATGCTGAGCCTATCAGCGACTGTGGTAGTGACTCTGGGATAACAGAGCTAAGAAGAGGGGAAAGTTGCTGTGCAGCAGCAACTGTAGCTGGAGAGAAGAGTTGAGAATCTGTGAGAGAGCCCTGCATACACCAAGGTCAGTGAAAGAGGGAAGGAGGTGCTCTAGACTCCAGAGCAGAGATAACTCTGCAGCCCGTGGTGTGGACTGTGGTGAGACAGGCTGTGCCCCTGCAGTACATGGAGGTCCATGGCGGAGCAGATACCCACCTGCAGCCTGGGGAGGACCCCATGCTGGAACCAGGGGGATGCCTGAAAACAGGCTGTGCCCCCATGCGAAGCCCGTGCTGGAGCGGTTCATGAAGAACTGCAGCACAAGAGAAGGACCCACATAGGAAAAGTTCATGAAGAACTGTCACCCATGGGAGGGATCACATAGTGCAGCAGGGAAAGAGTGTGAGGAGCCCACCCTGTGGGGAAGGAGGTAGAGAACTAGGAATAAAGTTAAACCTGGGAAGAAGAGAGGGGTGAGGGGAAGGTGTTTTTAAGATTTGGTTTTATTTCTCATTACCCTACCCCAATTTGATTGGTAATAATTTAAATTAATGTTTTTTTCCCCAAGTCAAGTCTGTTTTGCCCGTGATGGTACTTAGTGAGTGATCTCTCCCTGTCCTTAACTCATGAGCCTTTTGTGATACTCTCCCTCCCCTGTCCTGCTGAGGGAGGGAAGTGATAGAGCAACTTCGGTGGGCACCTGGTGTCCAGCCAGGGTCAACCCACCGCACGGGATAACTGACTCTGGTTTGGATTTTGCTGCATTAGCCGAAGACAAGGATTTCTTATGATTATGAGGGCATTAACCCATGCTCCAAACTGAAATGAAGTATGATACAGTGCACCTTCCTCCTCAGAGTGGTGTGTGACTTCTCCTAAATGAACTGCAGACTCCACATGCCTGCCAAGGCCTGGTTTCTATTTTACCTAAACTAAAATGCCACTATGTGAACAAAAATGGACTATTGGGAGATCTGCTTTGCTTGCCACTTTCTTTTGCCTGTCTACCGCATAATTACTCTTTTGTCTCAGTGAACCACTTTCACCTCAGCAGCACTTCTGCTTTGCTTTGATTTGCACCTCTCTCCCATCTCCCTTTGGCGTTTTGCTCTAATTAAGAGAGCCAAACCAAAATGCTGTCAACTCACAGTTGCATATGCAAGCGGATAGGAAATTAATATTGTACATGGGATGCATGTTTTTCATTTGCCTGCAGCAACAAGCTTAGTTAAAAAGCTAGTGAAAAAATGTATCAGAATTGGTCCATGATTCCTAATACATCTTTTTAAAACCAGTTAGATTTCTCAGAAAAGTTCTTTTAGGTTATTTAACATGACCACGTGTGCCATATATATACGGTCAGCACTAATTTATTTAAATGTATTTTTTAAAATTTCTAGCTGTAGGTTGTTTATTTTCTTGCATTTTTTTCTAGCTCCTAGTTGCTGTAACTGAAGGAATGAATCCTTCTTCTTGTATATAGCTTTAGCATTCACTTGTTACTGTTTCATCTTTTCCAAAATACTTCTTTTCCCTAATGTTGTATCCCTGGAGTTAATTTTTTGATTTGTAATGTAGAACTTTTGCGTAAGTATATTTCATGCTAATAGATGTTTGTATAGGTCTTGGTTTATTTTTTATTTAGGGGCTTTTGAAAATGGAATTGCAGAAGGCAGTATCAATCAGTCGATGGGAAAAATACAGGCTATTCGTCTGTCAGTCAATTCTGATTCTCCTGTGTGGGCAATACTTAGTGAGGTAAGCATGTTAACAAAAGCATTTTAATTAAAGCTTTATTAGGTAAGTGTCAGTTCTTCCTACCGTACAGTACTGATAATCATTAATTTGTATTTAATTTCAAATGGGATTTTATATGGAAAAACACAAGTAGAGAATTATATTTGTTATTCAGGGGAGAGGTTAAATTTACTTCATAGAAAGTGATGGAAATGCTCAACTGGGACGATTCTCTAGTTTTGAAGTGCTGTAAATACAGCCACTAGAATCTGGGTCATGATAAACAAACCAACCAAAGGAGACAGGGAGGCTTGTCTAGATTTTTTCAGTCACTATTTTGGATACTAATTATAATATGCAAACATTTTCAGATTAATGTGTTTTTTTGATTCTTCAAGTATTCTCCCAAGTGTCTGAATTTGTGTGAACCCTAAGTAGAAAATACTTGTCAGAAGTCACTGAAGAAATTACTACAGCCTTAAAGCCATATTTGGAAGGAAGGAAAAGCTACTATCATAGGCAATGCTTCTGCAGGCTTTAGAAAATAAGACATTTTGTTTTTTTCCAGGTATTCATCAAGACATCTGAAAACTGAAAAGAAGAATATTTGTTTTGTTGCTTGTTACAGATTGCTTGAAAACAGCAACAAAAAATTGGCTGGGTAAAAAAGCAAATACAAACCCATTTAATTCTTAATACTGTGTATTAGGAAAGAGTTAACTATTGAATCTTTATATAAGGAATACTGGAAGCTATGAAGAACCTGTTTACTTTAGTAATTTCTATAAAATGTTCTTGAGTAAGGTGTCATAGATAAAAATCTCAACTTGGCAACATTCAGTGTAGATTATTATACACAAATAATAAGGCAATACAAGCTGTCTCAGGGACTAAAGCATATAAGTATGGTAAGTTTCACTGGAACTAAAAATATGGACATTTTTGAAAAATATTAAGGACACAGTTTTCAACACCCCTAAAAACTGGTCAATTTGGGGGGGGGGAAATAAAACTGAAGGGAAAGTTGTCGATATTTATTGCAAGCATTTAGAGCAGTTCACAGAGATAGGAAAAAAAAACTGAAGGAAAAGTTGTCGATATTTATTGCAAGCATTTTGAGCAGTCCACAGAGATAGGAACAACTTAACAATATGAAAATGGATCTCAGCCTTAATAGAAGAAGTGTGTTTCAGCCTTAATGTAGCCTAAGTTATATTTAATTGCTTTTTTTTAATGGAAAGTGCCTACAATATACCATTTAAATAACTTGAAATTTAAATGGGCATTTTTTGGAGGATTGTAAAACTTGTCAGTGAATTGTGCATTGAGTTAACTACAGGAAAAAATAAAGATATTATGTGTAACTGTATTTTTCACAGAAAGAAAATCTATTTAAGTAAAATTTTTGACGCTGCAATTTGATAATTAGTATATACTGATACTTAAATCCTGGTCAGAAAGCTAAACTCAGTATAGATTTGAAAATAAACATTAAGCCACAGTTCTGTCATTTGAAATGGTTTTGGGAAATGATAATTCACCTCGGACATCTACCTGTGCAGAACTCCTGCATCACTTACTTGGCATGTGAAGCACAACTGCGCCCTCATTCTCCTGCTCATGCATTGCATCCTGACAGCAGTGTGAGAAACAAACTGCACCGTGCATTTTTGTGTGTGGATTTGTATTAAATACATTAAATTAATGAAGAATTGTATTCTTAATGCAAGAGTATTTTTATTTAGAATATGATTAAATTAATTTTATTACATTAAAACAGTTCAGAAGGGTGTTTTTTAAAGACCTCCTCTAATATTTTGATAATTTACAGTATTGTTTATATACTGTGGTGCTATATATACGTGATTGTGGAGATATATATATGTACATAAGCGTGCGTGTATGTCTTGGAGCAAATACCACAGCCCTTACTAGGTTAAGAGTTTAATGCAGTGTCCTGGGTTCAGCAGTAGCAGTCATTTTTCTCCTTCTTAGTAGCTGGTGCAGTGCTGTGGTTTTGACTTTCAGCCTGGGAACAGCGCTGATAACACCGATGTTTTTAGTTGTTGCTTAGTAATGTTGTCTGACCAAGGACTTTCTGAGTCTCATGCTCTGCCAGGGAGGAGGGGAAGCCAGGAGGAAGCAGAGACAGGACACCTGACCCAAACTAGCCAAAGAGGTATTCCATACCACAGCACGTCATGTCCAGTATATAAACTGGGGGCAGTTACGTGGAAGGGCTCGATCACTGCTTGGGCCGGGCTGGGTATCAGTCAGTGGGTGGTGAGCAGTTGCATACTCTTCCCTTGTTATGTCCCTTATCATTATTATTGTTGGTGGTAGCAGCAGTGGTTTGTGTTATACCTTAGTTACTGGGCTGTTCTTATCTCAACCCATGGGAGTTACATACTTTCGATTCTCCTCCCCATACCTCCAGGAGTCGGGAGAGGAAGGCGGGGGGAGCAAGTGAGTTGCATGGCTGACTGGGCTTAAACCACGATATGCAGGTTAAGAATTAATGCAGTAATTCAGAGTGCTTAGCAATACACAGAGGGATACCTTTATCCATCAGCACTTACATTAAAAAGAAGGGTTGACTGAAACTGAGACCAGTGGATCATTAAAAAGCAGCAGCTAAAACTGCAGC